GTGTTTTGTCCTCCATCCTTGGGTTCTAGCCTCCATCCGTATTCATCTTCATCCCCAGATTCCAGGATCCATCCCTCTGTCTTTTCCTATCACAAGGCTCCATCTTCCATCTAGGTTTTGGCCTTCGTGTTTCTTCTCTCATTCTGGCATGTGGAGGACTCTGACCTCCATATTCTGTCCCTCATCCCATTATGGCACCCAAGGATTCCATGTCCCTTCTCCAGACCTGACGCCCGCCTCCCTCTGTTCTCATGCCTGTTACGGTGCCTGTTCCGGTCTTTCTGTCCTCGTCTCTCTTCCAGCGGACAGGGTGGCTCAATGAGTAGGGCTGTGGCTGGTTTGTGGGGAGCTCTGGGTTCTCGTTCTGTTTTGTGCACTGGGCCATCTCTGGCAGGTCGCTCCTCTGGCCTGCCATGGGGTGGCACGAATGGGATTCCTGTCATCCCAGGCTCTCCTCCTCTGTGAGTGTCTCCTCAGCTTCTCTCTCTCTTCCTTGTCTCCTCATTCCTCCCAGTCCCCACCTCCTTCCATCCCCTAACTCTTCACCTCCCACCCCGCGTTCCCCATCCCTTCTCTCCTAGGCGGTACGTGAGGGCCTCGTGATGCCGGTGGTGAAGACTGAGGGGGCTGAGGATTTCACCGGAGCCACAGTGATTGAGCCCCTGAAAGGGTGAGCTGAGGTGGGGGGGCGGTCAGCTCCCTGGGGCTGCTCCAGGCTGTCCTGACCTCTCACCCCTTGTGCCCCCATCCAGGTACTACGATGTCCCCATCGCGACCCTGGACTTCTCCTCCCTGTACCCGTCCATCATGATGGCCCACAACCTGTGCTACACAACGCTGCTGAGGCCAGGGGCTGCCCAGAAGCTGGGGTAAGGCAGCTGCCTTGGGATGGGTCTGGGGGCGTTGAACCAGGGTCTCCTCCTCACACGTGCCGCCCTCCCCCTACAGCCTGACCTCTGACGAGTTCATAAAGACCCCGACGGGGAATGAGTTTGTGAAGGCGTCTGTGAGGAAGGGGCTTCTGCCTCAGATCTTGGAGAACCTGCTCAGTGCCCGGAAGAGGTGGGGACCAGGCCCTCCGCCCTCTCTCTGCTCCCTCCCCCCACCCCACTGCCACCCGGCCCACGGGCCGTTCTGACCGTCGATCCCTCCCAGGGCCAAGGCAGAGCTGGCCAGAGAAACCGATCCCCTGCGGCGGCAGGTCCTGGACGGACGTCAGTTGGCGCTGAAGATCAGCGCCAACTCTGTCTACGGCTTCACCGGAGCCCAGGTTGGGAAGCTGCCCTGTGTGGAGATCTCTCAGGTGAGCCGGGTGAAGAGGTCAGGGTGGTACAGGAACCTGAAACGCGAGCCCTCCGCTCACAGGGGAGGC